ACCAATGTCAATGAAGTCTACTCTCGTGTGATTCATGAAGGTGGGACCTCATTTTGGTCAAACGGTACAATTAAAACAGAGGCTATTTAATACTCAGTGAAAACCATGACCACACATGTTACATTAGTCTTGCGACCTCATTTTCGTGATCGATCAGCTCTTCTCTACACACACTGGCATCACCGAGTTCATGAAGTAATAGAGTGTTTTCAGTTACATGGATATCCTGACTGGTACTACGAGCAAAATCATCAAGACGGTACAACAAATTATGGGTGTGGATCCTCTGGTCGTGGCTCTGGACATAATAACAACAACAGAGATGGTTGTCCATCACCTTCTAACAATGGTCGTGGATGAGGAAGAGAAACACACATCTCGTGTTGCTACATCATACGATGGTGGAACAGACCAAATTTCTCAATTGAACTCTCTTCTTAAAGCTAAACATGTCCTCTGAAAAGTTATCGGGTAAAACCAATCATACTGATGTGATTATTGACCTGTGTTTGAAATATCGCGCCTTGGCGCTAGCCATGGAGCAGATTGTAAGTGAAAATTTACATGAACCCAAGATCTTTAAACAACTAGATGATCACATAATAGATTTATAAGAATGTTTATAGGATTACCTGCATTCATAGTTGCAAAGAGAGAATGATCCTCCTTGGATGAACTCTTGGATGGAAGATGAAATGCTTAAGTTAGGTGATTAGATTTCTCTCCCCTTGCCTAGAACTTTTAAGTGTTGTTTTTCTTAAGTCTTGCCTATATGATGGTTTAATGGCAAGTATTTATAGGTGGAGAGAGGACCTAATTCCTCATTAGGGCTTCCATAGATTTAATCTCAACCATCCATCAAAGTAGAGATATTTAGGAATTACTCCTTTATTTCCAATATATTTGGACACCAATTACATTTAATAATAGTATTATTCCAATAGAAAATGGATGAATATAAGACCATATTATAGGGAAGAATTTATTCTTACAGTCTCCCACTTGGTCGTTAGAAAATCCATTAATATTTTCTTTATAGAATCATAAGGCCGGCATAATATGCTATTACTTTATTTCATTCATTTGGTCATCATAAGTGTCTTGACTACTCTAGTAAGTAATGAGAGTCATGGCGGGCACACATCATTTTGCAACATGATTCCTTCCATGTACTACTGCATTAATCACCTTCATAGCTAGACCATAAGTAAGAGTATCATAATGGTCCCATAATATCTTTAAACAAAGACTCATTCTGTTATTATAAAATCCAACCAGCAAAAATGTGTGTACACATGGAAAACAGAATATATAAATAAAAGATGTAAAAGTCATAAGAGAGCTCATATAATTGTCATATATAGGCTAGAACATAATCAAACAATATATTTAAGAACTATCCTCAAGACCCATACTTTCAGCATGCTTTATAAAGGTCTTTGGAGGTAATGCTTTCGTAAATATGTCTGCAACCATAAGCTCAGTGCCTATATGTTCAATGACAAATTTTTCTCTTTTAACATCTTGCTTAAGTGATAGATATTTAAGCTCCATATGCTTGGCGCCTTTTGATATCCTATCATGGTTAGAGAAGAAGATTACATCTTGATTGTCACAATAAAGAGTTAAAGGCTTGTCAACAAAGCTCAAAACCCCAAACTCTGACACAAAATTCCGCAACCATGTTCCTTGAATAGAAGCCTCATAACATGCAACATACTCAGCCTCCATAGTGGATGTGTAAATCAACGCTGACTTTTGGCTTTTCCAGGAGATGGCACCTCCAGCAAGGAGATACACATAGCCAAGAGTACAGTGTCTAGTGTCTTTGCATCCACCAAAATCTGAATCTGAAAATCCAACCATCTGTGGATGTGTTGATTTTCGATATGTCAACATATAGTTTCTCGTTCCCTTTAGGTATCTCAGAACTTTCTTTGCAGCTTGCCAGTGAGCGAGTCCAGGATTACTTTGAAATCTACCTAACATGCCAACTGCATGGCTAATATCAGGTCTGGTGCAACATACATCAAACTTCCCACAAGAGATGCATAAGGGTATTTTTGCATTTCATTGCGTTCCATTTCATTCTGCGGACATAGCTTAAGATCAAACTTGTCACCTTTCTGCATAGGAACAATGCTAGAAGAACATGATAGCATGCCAAATCTCTCAAGAACTTTATCAATATATGCCTTTTGAGACAATCCTAAAATTCCTAGTGATCTATCACGGAATATTTCAATTCCTATCACATAGGATGCCTCACCCATATCTTTCATGTCAAAGTTTTTAGAGAGGTAACCCTTAGTCTCATGTAATAGACCAAGATCACTACTGGCCAATAATATGTCATCAACATACAAAACCAAAAATATGAACTTACTCCCACTGATCTTGAGGTAAATACATGGATCTACAATGTTCTCTTTGAAACCGAATTTCGTTATGGTTTCATCAAACTTAAGATACCATTGCCTCGAGGCTTGTTTCAGTCTATATATTGATTTCTTTAATTTGCAGACCATGTCTTCCTGACCTTCAATTATGAAGCCTTCAGGTTGACGCATATAGACTTCTTCTTCTAAGTCTCCATTAAGAAAGGCAGTTTTCACATCCATTTGATGTAACTCGAGATCATGCTCAGCTACTAAGGCCATGATAATTCTGAAAGAGTCTTTTCTTGACACAGGTGAAAAAGTCTCACTATAGTCAATGCCTTCTTTCTGATTGAACCCTTTGGCTACAAGTCTGGCTTTATATCGTTCCACATTGCCATTACAATCGAGTTTGGTCTTAAAAATCCATTTACACCCGATTGCTTTGTGTCCTTCAGGCAATGAAACAACGTCCCAAACTTTATTCTTAACCATAGAGCCGTATTCATCTTTACTGGCATAAACCCATTTATCAGAATTAACATCTTTCATGGCTTGTGAATAAGAAACCGGATCTTTAATATTTAATTCTCCAGATTCTATTTGATAAAGCACATAATCATCAGAAATGGCAGATCGTCTCTGACGAGTCGATCTTCTTAATGATGGTTCCTCATGTGCGTCAAGAGCATTATTGGCAATATTTTCATTATGGAGTGGATGATCATTCACTTGGTTCTCCTCATTGTTTAACGGTTCAACAACTGGAGAATGTCCAACATTCGGAACTAAGGGCAATGGAACATCAACCCTAATTTCCTGAATGACCACATCTTGTACTTTATCAATCCCACTAATCTCGCCATTCTCATAGAATCTAGCATTACTGGTTTCTACTATTCTCGTACTGTGGGATGGACAGTAAAATCTATATCCTTTAGATTTCTCAGGGTAACCTATAAAGAAACCACTGATCGTTCTGAAATCTAATTTCTTTTCATGTGGATTGTATATTCTTGCTTCAGCTGGACATCCCCAAACTTGGAGGTGTTTCAGACTAGGTTTCCAGCCTTTCCACAGTTCAAAAGGAGTCTTTAGAACTGCTTTGCTTGGAACCCTGTTTAAGATATAGACTGCAGTATGTAATGCATCCATCCACAAGGATATAGGTAAGTTAGCATGACTCATCATGGATCTAACCATTCCCATATAAGTACGGTTTCGCCTTTCAGCTACACCATTCTGCCATGGAGAACCAGACGTTGTGTACTGGGCAACGATTCCTAATTTTTGGAGAAGTTTGGCAAATGGTCCAGGATGTTGTCCTGTTTCATCATATCTACCATAAAATTCACCACCTCTATCTGACCTAATGATTTTCACCTTTCTATCTAATTGTCTTTCAACTTCAGTAATGTAAGCTTGGACAGCATCCAGAGACTGAGATTTTTCATGCAATAGATATAGATAACAATAACGTGAATAATCATCAATAAAGGTAATAAAGTACTTTTCACCTCCAAAAGTTGGAACGTCAAAAGGTCCACAAATATCTGTATGTATGATTTCAAGAAGCTGTGTACTTCTTGTGGCACCTCTTTTAGTATGTTTAGTTTGCTTACCCTTAATGCAATCTATACATTCTTTATTATTAGTAAAGTCAAGAGTTGGAATGACTCCATCCTTTACCAATCTTTTAATTCTTTCACTGGAAATGTGTCCCAGCCTTTTGTGCCACAAAAAATACGAGTCATTTGTACATGTTTTATGCTTAAAGACACATTTATCTTGCAGGGTGAGATGTGTTTCAAAAGATTGATCAGCTAAAATTAACTTATAAAAGCCATCAACTAATATTCCAGAACCAATATGATTAGAGTTCAGAAATAATTTGAAACAACGATCTCCTTGAGTAGAATTAAAACCAGCCAAATCAAGTTTGCTTAATGAAACTAAATTACGAGAAATAGATGGAACATAAAGAGTTTGGGGCAAATCCAAACAAAATCCACTATCCATAATGAGACGATAAGTGCCAATAGCTTCAACTGGCGCTTGGTCTCGGTTTCCCATAAGAATATAGCTTTCACTTGGATTTATGGTACGGGTTGTAAGGAATCCCTGCAAAGAATTGGTTACATGTACATTAGCACCACTATCAATCCACCAAGTATTAGAAAAAACATGAGTAAAATTGGTTTAAAAAAAGCTTACTGAACCCATAGGGTTACCTTTCTTTTCAAACCATTCTTTTCTTTTCTGACAATCTTTCTGAAAGTGTCCAGACTTTTTGCAAAATTTGCATGGGTCATCTTTCTTTGCCTTTTTCTTCTCATTAGCTTGTTGAACTTCATTATTTCTGGGTGGTGCTCTTTTATGGCTCATTTGATGATGCCTTTTCCCAGCTTTAGATCCAGCTCCTTGGACATAGTGGGCAACCTTAATACCTCCACGGCCAAGCCTAGACTCCTCTTGGACCAATTTATTAGCCAATTCATTAGACGTCCATTTTTCTTCAATGGCGTTGTAATTGATCTGAAATGGTCCATACTGAGGAGGTAAAGAATTCAGGATAAATTGAACAAGAAATGAATCATCCACACTCATTCCCAAATTCTTTAGCTAAGCTGCAAGGTTGGTCATTTCAATGCAATGATCATGCATAGACCTTGTGCCATCATACTTTATGGTTGTAAGATCTGCCATAAGTTTCCCAGCAAGGGATTTGTCTGCAGTCTTAAACCGTTCTTCAATAGCTACTAGATAAGCACTAGCTTTTTCTGCAACTGGAAGGGATGTTTTGATGTTGCTAGCAATTGTCATCCTTAAGAACATAATGCTCAATCTGTTCGCTTTCTCCCATGCTTTATGGAAAGCCTTGTCATCCCCAGTACTATCCTCGGTAAGTGGTTGTGGCTCCTCCTGACGAAGGGCCAAATCTAAGTCTAGCACTCCCAATGTGAACTCAACTTTCTCTTTCCATTCTGAGAAGTTGGTCCCAGTGAGAAGGGGAACATTAGAGACCATGGATGACAAACTAGCGGGAAATGATGCTGCATTTATAGAGATACAATAAGTTTTAATTAGGCTTCATAATTAACACCATAAATTATTTTATGCATATGATAAGAAATTCTAGTGTTCCTGTGCGAATCACATAATCTCATAAAATTATATATGCATAAAACTTTATTGAATGATATATTGAATTACTCAGCCTAAGTTATCTGTGGATATCCTTAGCCAAAACAATACAAATATTCTAAAATATTGATAATTTCTCATGCTTATAATCTACTTATGGGTAACTAAATATTTCATAAAATTATCAAAAATTATTTAAATAATGGTTTTTATTGGCAACATATTATAGGGTAAACTCACTGAGGTGATATCTAAACCCTGGTTTTGCACTTTAAACCAATGTTATGTCACACATTATGCAGAACTGTTTGAATAAAAATATTTAATCATAATATTTATTGTATGAATATAAAATATTTTCAAAATTTGAAAAAATATTTTAATGTGAATTATTAATAATCACGACTTTAATTGTACTAATAATGTACATATTTAATTTGAAAACCGTTACTGCACTAATAATGTACAGAATATTTTCAAAAGTTGAAAAAATGTTTTAATGTGAATTACTAATCGCAACTTTAATTGTACTAATAATGTACATAACTTATATGAAAACCGGTACTGCACTAATAATGTACAGAATATTTTCAAAAATTAATGCAAAAAATATTTTCATTAACCACAATATTTACTTCATGAATTCAAAAACGTTTTTGAAAATTTAGTTACAAAATAAAAACGTTTTTATGTGAATAAATCACAACATTTATTATACAATAATGTACAAAAACGTTTTTGAAAATAAAACACAATATTTATTGTACAATAATGTACAAAACGTTTTAAAAACTTAAATTAGAAAATAAAACGTTTTTATTTAAGTAAAACATAACAATTGTTGTACAATAATGTATATTTTTTTTATTGCACAAATTATGTACGAATCGTTTTCTGCTATAGAATCTGTGATAATCTTAATTCACAGTTTGACAAAAAAAATTGCACATAATACATTAAGCGGAAAAATATTACAGATATCCGATATTCACAAATCATGAACAATATCATTATGCACTAATTATGCGAAATAAAATTCTAAGAAAAATATAGAACTCTGATTTTGCACGGATAATTGTTTCTAAAAATTATAAAATTTTCACATAATGTACGACAAGCAAGAAAATTAACAACAAAATTCAGATCAACAAAACTTTGAGTTCTACATCTATCATTTTCCATATTCAGTTCATAAATCTATTATACATAATGGATTAACTAGATGTTTATAACCATGCTCTGATACCACATGTAAGTGAAAATTTACATAAACCCAAGATCTTTAAACAACTAGATGATCACATAATAGATTTATAAGAATGTTTATAGGATTACCTGCATTCATAGTTGCAAAGAGAGAATGATCCTCCTTGGATGAACTCTTGGATAGAAGATGAAATGCTTAAGTTAGGTGATTAGATTTCTCTCCCCTTGCCTAGAACTTTTAGGTGTTGTTTTTCTTAAGTCTTGCCTATATGATGGTCTAATGGCAAGTATTTATAGGTGGAGAGAGGACCTAATTTCTCATTAGGGCTTCCATAGATTTAATCTCAACCATCCATCAAAGTAGAGATATTTAGGAATTACTCCTTTATTTCCAATATATTTGGACACCAATTACATTTAATAATAGTATTATTCCAATAGAAAATGGATGAATATAAGACCATATTATACGGAAGAATTTATTCTTACACAGATTTCGCAAGGTGCAGAAGATGTCACCATGAAAACCAAAAACAATGCACAATTGAAAGGCTCGCGCTATATGGACTTTTATATGATGCCCAAGGCGCGCTAAAGGCAAATGGCGAGGGTTTTTTTTTATCTTATCAGTAAAAATAGGTAATTAAGTCATTTAAAGTATTTTTTTAAACAATTAATAATTGATTAATTGATTAAAACCTAATTAGGTTCACAATACTCTCAGATCATGGAATTTGACAATACTCTCAATACATCAAAGATAAAAAGTCCTCTGGTTCTTCTCCTCTCTAGCGTGCATCTCTTAATTTTTGTGTTCAGGTATGTTTTCTCTTATCTCTTCCTCTTCAATAAGTTCTGTAATCATCGCTCGCTTCTTCTAAATTCTGTTCTCATGATCATCACAAATTCACGGCTCTCTAGTCTCTACACATCATGTTTTGACATTTTTTATATATTCTGAAAACAATTTCGTTTTCTTACATAATCCACATGGCTGCTGTCTTGTTCTTGTAGTTCCATGATGGCTGACGGTGAAGATAACAGAAAGACGACTGATGGTAGAAGAATGGATCTAGGCAGGAAGTTTGGAACTTTTGTTGGGAACAACAACAACTCTTGGAAGTGTAGTTTCTGCATCACGGTTACTAACGGAGGAATTTCTTGGCTAAAGCAGCATTTGGTTGGAGGTTTTAGGAATGAAAAAAGTGTAAGATGGCTCCAGATTATGTTGTGAAAGAATTGCATCAGTACATGCTCAAAAAGGATGAAGAAAAAGCAGCGAGTATGATGGCATAACAAGCTGAATTTGGTGATGAGTATGATGAAGCAGATATAAAGGAACCACCAGCCTGATCGGTTCAAACTAAGATACGGAAAGTCAGAGGACCATTGGATAAGTACTGATAGATAAGAGTTTTTAAGTCTCAGGGCTATCAATCCCCTTGTCAAAGTAGTACTAAGAGGTGTCAATCCAGACTTGTCAACGAGACACTAGTCTATGTTGTTTGTTTGTTTAAGTCAAGATAAAAAGGTGAAGGTTTTTCTAAGCTAAATAACAACGATTAAGCATGTAAGTAAGGTAAATGATGAGAATCAAACAAAGCAAAGATGCAAATGATAACTAAGCGATTCAGATGATGTTAATATGTAATAAAGCAAGAGACTTTAGACGAGATACTTGACTCGGGTGCTTCCAAGTTCAACTAGTGGGTTAATGAATCAAAACATCAAGCGGTTTCATTTAACTTTGAACTCAAGGCATGTTAATCTTCTCATGAAAGTATTAAGCATCTAAATTGATCCTCCTTCATACCAAAAATGTCTTTTGAGAAGCATCGAATCAATCAGCAATAAGAATCAGTTCAAAAATGTCACTTAAGAGAACAAACTATCACTCTCGCGATGAAAGACGCTTAAACCCTTAACCGAGTGGTTCAGACATTTCTACAAACACTTTTGATGCGAGATATGTCTCAGATCTGAACCTCAAGTGATGTGCTTGGATCCAGCCTAGAGATCTCGTCGGTTAAAGAATGAAACATGCAAGACATAGACACCTAAACCCACTAATCTACCTTGAAAGCACCCTAATCTACTCATCTAAAGCCGCTTAAACGACTACTCACTAATCATAACGAGCTCACTAAGTCCTTTGCAAGACGTGTAGCTGGTCATGATGAGGAGTTCAATGTTAGATGATAAAAGAAATAAAGAAAGAACAAGATTTCTCATGCAACAACAAGATATCGGATTAGAATCATCAAGTTTCACTAAAAAGGCAAGTTCTTCAAACTAAAAACAGGTAAGAGATAAGATGATTAGGTTTTTAGTCTCAAAATGTATATATAGCAAAGGTAAAGTGTCGCGGGTCAGCCCGGAACAAACCGGGTACTGAACCGCGATCTTGGGTTGATGGGTGAGTGCCACGGTGTGTCGGAGAGTGAAGCCGAGGTCTTCATGCCGAGGAGTGCACGTGAGTCCAGATCCAAATGAAGATCTCGTGAAGAACACGTCAAGAACATGCATGAACTCTAGTCTTTGATCCATCTTCACGTGTGTATTCTTGGGCAGCTTTGTTCTTGATTCTGGGTTTGTGACAATGGACCTCGGCATGAAATGCCGAGGCGCTTGGTAGTCGAGGGGTTTGATCGAACAGGGTCCGGCATGCACGCCGAGGTCATTGCACCGAGGTGCACGTTCAACACTTAGTCGTTTCCAACTTCATTTCTTACGTGTGCATGCCTTGATTCCAACGTGCCGAGGCGTTTGCACGAGGCCTAGTTCAGAATACTCCCAAAATATGAGCCTTGACTTGGACGATGTCGAGGTTATGATGCCGAGCCCTGAGAAAACACTTAGCGTGTATCGCAACATATTTGGGCTCGTATTGACCATGTCACCTTCCGGAAGCAGTAACTTTCATCCCACGACTCCAAATGCTCTGAGACCAGTTCCATAGTCAAGATGACTCAATAAGCTCGAACTTTGGTGAAGAAACCGTCGGAGCTTGGGAAGTGGAGGGCTTCCTGGATTTCACATCTTTGAACCGTATTGGAATCACCAGAAAATAAGCTTTTTAGACCGATGTGAACTCCAGAGACTTTATCTTTCAAACCATTGCTCCGAATTTAGCGATCCCAACTGTTCTGTAAGGGTTTTTCACAGATCTCAAACTTTGATGAAGACCGGGCAAGCTGATTTGGTCCGGAAAGGCTCCGTCCGCCGTGATCTTTGTGCTCCGCCGTTCGGTTCTCGGATGCGCGTAATGTTGGTGCATCTTCCGGAAGCTGTATTTTTCTCCCCACGGGTCCGAATTGGATGATTCCAATTGTTCTGGGATCTTTGTTTGATTATCTCCAACTTTGCTGAAGACCCCGCCAACTAGTTTGGACCGGAAGGTTCCCCGGATTGCTGATCTTTGAAATGCGCGGACAAGGACAAATTTTGGTCGAGAAAAGCTTCCCGCGGTAAGGAAAATGGCCGAGGGCTGTGTACCGCGGTAAGCTTTTTGGTCGTAAAAGTTCCTTCGCCTCGGCCAAAAACTCAACCCGTGGTATTTGCACCTGATCTTCGACCCAGGTTGACTTTGGTCGATCGGTACGGATTTTGGTCGGTGCTGAGCGATCGGTAAGCTTTTTGGTCGAGGTTGAACGATCGGTAAGGATTTTGGCCGGTAA